TGAAGACGAAGTCACAAACTGTATAGCGAAAGCACGAGGCGCTTTTGCTGACTTTCGCCAGCCACGGTGCCGGCGCGACATCACTCTCTCCTTGAAGGGTAGAGTGCACAATGTAGTGGTACGTTCGACCCTACTGTACGGTTGTGAAACCTGGCCCATTAGATCAGCCGATATAAAGAGGCTATTTACGTTCGACCACCGGTGCCTTCGCAGTTTGGCTCATATCTGGTGGGAACACAACGTGAGTAATGAGCGTGTTCGACGCCTCGCTTATGGTGCAGGAAGAAGAAGCGAACCGCGCAGCATCGTTATTTCACGCACCAGGCTCCAATGGTTGGGCAACGTGTTGCGCATGCTAGCCCATCGACTCCCGCGACGTGCGTTGTTTGCGCGCCGCTGGTGCGGATGGAAGAAGAGGAGGAGTGACCAAGCAATGACTTGACCAAAAGGAATGAAGGCCCTTACCTCGAAGTTGGCCTTGGTCGGAACTCCGGGCTCCCTGACGGGGACCGAAGGACGATGAACACGTTTGGCTGGATACCCTTTCTGACATGCCATGGAGCTGACCTCAGTGGCATTTGTATTGTGAGTTTCTTTGTCCCTCTCACTTCCGCTTATCCTCTCCCTGTAACCCCGATCTTATTTATTAAGCCTATTATAACTACTTCTTGAGGCACTATGGCCAGCTGTTAGCTCTCCGGAACGATGTTCATTCGTTACTGATGACTCATCCGGTGTGTCTGTTTAATGTTTTTCGCTTTTCTTTTATATTTCGGCACAATAGCTGAGGGGTTTTCCACCTGCAGCTCACGTGTATAATAAGAACAATGGTTGTTTCTATTTACCGCCGAACTCTTGCGCCCCTGAAAACGGATTGTTTCAGAATGTGTTGAGGCATGCTTCTGCATTTCCAATTCGCTTTGAGGTAATTGGAGAAGATCTCACCTTACCAAACATTTCATGAATCGAGCGCAAAGTTACACGCAAGTAAGCCAATATCTTGACCTGTTTGCTTGAGGCAGGCTGGGCACGGCATGTAACCTCTCCCACACGCTTGCATAATACACTCGACCTAAGATTCACTGCTGGTTCAACAGTGGCTGTTATCGACGTACTAGACGAGGACAGTAATGTCAGTTACAAAATGAACATTACATATTCACCTAAAGCCACATCGACACACGTTTGAAATTTTGATAGAATAAACCGAAGCAACTTTGCTGCCTTAGTGCTTATTGCTGACCGAACCGACCTCCTCCTATCTTCTAAACTAAAAGTGTCTCTGCAAACGTATTAGGTGAACACTAATCGATGTATTGAAACACTGTCTCTTGCCATAACTTGCACTCGAAATAAGTTGCAGCCACGGGAAATACAGTACGAACGTACAGTACGAACGTACTTGCTAAAGCTTTTCAACAAACTAATGAATTAGAGTACTATTCAAGCTTCATAGACTATTAAGCGAAAATGGAAACCATTGTCCCATTGTCTCATGGGAGAAGAGACTGATTTCATAAAATGATATAACCCAACGCTTGAAGTGACACGATTGCCAAAAAGACGGAGTGGCACACAACGAAACCCATGGCTGAATCTTATCACACCTGAGGATGATCTTATCGATATTCCAACAGCTGTAGCTAAAGCTTTTAATCCATCCCTCGTATTACTCACAATGGATCTGAACGAATAATGTGAATCAGAAGTGCAGCAATTCTAAGTGCCACACCAATTAATGCTTCGTCCACTATCGAATTTTTGAAACAAAACCTTACATAGATGTATCAACTCCAAAAAGACAGCAAAGAAAATAGTGAGTTATTTAGCTATTTAGCTAACTTGTTTCTGACTGGGTGGGTTAATTAAGCTGACGGGGATCAAGAACAGTATTTTTAACCGACGTATAAATCAATCGGTTACGGTGGAATGCGAATGCCTATCTAATGGTAAAACAAACTTGGAGAGTTTGTTTATCTTGTCAAGTATATTGATAACATTCTCTTCTTAGCTACTGATAGAATCCAACCCAGTTAACATGTGATCGATGCAACAAAAGCAACCGTTTACACAGGACAATAACCAAAGACAAATTCCCTCCCTGAACGACTGTTATTTTACAAAGTCCGCTTCCGGCCGCCATGCACAACATTGGCCACCGTGGCTCAGTTCCTTGCCCAATTCATCTTACTTTTACTGGCTTATTTTTCGCCTACATTTATCCTGTCCCTAGCCTCTGCTTAAGCATAAAGCTCATGATCCTAACTTAATGTTTATGGTATAACTGTTTGAAGTGAGCTCGGAAATTGAAATGTGACGCTACACTAGTTCTTCTCTTGTAAATTACCTTATTCCATAAGCGCCAACTAGGAGACCCATTAAACAGACGCGCTCCCCCTACCCCAGTTAGAAACTAGCGGAACGAGCACTTCATGCTCTCCACGTGTCCCTCTCATCTGAGTCATAAATCTTAGACACCCCTTCTCTAATCTTTGACTTGTACCGATTGGTGACTACCACAGCCATAGCTGAGATGAGATTTGCCCACTATGGAGATAAAAACGTCCGGCAATCAAGAATGTCAAAGACTTGTACCATTTACCCCATCAGCAAAAGCTAAAAGGGCTCGAGGTTCTCGGTGGACAATACCGGCGATTGCTTGGAGAAGTCCTGACACCGGAAGGCCAACCGCTGTCATTTGCATGGCAGGTGCCTGCATGGCAGTGGAGGATGGGTCGGGCTATATCGCAGTTAGCTGACAATTCGTGATGGTCGGCTACCATCCTCCATGGCGCAGTTGCATAAGCTGCGGGCTAGTTAGCACAAGCCACTAGCAATCATGGGTTCGATCCTCTGTAGAGGACCGAAGAATGCGCACCACAGACGAGCCCCAATAGGGCGAAACGGCCGTCTGCTGCTTTTCCGGATGGGTAGTTGACTTATCTGGATTGTCGGCTGACTGCGACGAACAAAAATGGAGAAGTTATTATGAATTACCAGGTTTTGGAAGACTTCTACCACTCTTGCCATTATCTGTTGAGCGCAGTCACAACAGCAATCTGCGAGGTCGCCAGCTAAAGCTGATATGGTAGTACAGTCGTTTGGATTGCTGTCGGAATCTCTTTTCCTTACGTGCTTGTCAAACATGGAATGCCCTCCACGAATCTGTCATCTATGCTCTTAAGCTAGTGGAGTCCAAAGCCCGAGTTGCTCGTACACTCATCGGTCTATACCATCTCACATGACTCATCACCCATTTCAAAACAAGTGTCTGCGAGAGATTCCACTGCCTGTTAACTCCGAAAACACAATCCACATTTTCACCTATCGCTCGTGTTCTCCGGGAGGTGACACGTTCTGAAACTTTATGTCGTCACTTCTTACTGATCTGCAGTTATTGGTGGGTATACCTCGGTGAGCCCACCGGTTTAAACTTACATTTTGCTGGGTTTGCCTTCTACCAGCTCCTGCTGCCTGACTGCTGTCAATCCTTCACTGATGATGTCACCACGAATGGTGACGAAACGTCTACTACCAAGTTGAAAAGCTCGGCAAGAACCACAAAAACTGAGCTTTTTAATGTAACCTCTGCTGACAACCTTAACATGAGCTTTGTGTTTCCATGCAATCGCTCCCAATCCCCACGCGCAAGCATAACGTAGGCCGGTTCTTGGAGCTAATAGTAACCCTTTGAGGATGGCGTGTGTACAGGTGCAATGGGGGTTTCCGGTTTGGTAATCAGTCCATATAAACAGTAAGATACCACGCGTAGAATAAAATCGTGTTTAAGCTCATTTACCTTCACCAACATGCTCGACTGACTTGCCTTTCTAATCGGATAGGCTTTTAATTACATATCCAAGACCAAGGTGTTCAGGACATGCGTAATGTACATTTCCCAAGTAACATGCAGCAGCAGCAGCAGCAGCAGCAGCAGCAGCAGCAGCAGCAGCAGCAGCAGCAGCAGCAGCAGCAGCAGCAGCAGCAGCAGCAGCAGCAGCAGCAGCAGCAGCAGCAGCAGCAGCAGCAGCAGCAGCAGCAGCAGCAGCAGCAGCAGCAGCAGCAGCAGCAGCAGCAGCAGCAGCAGCAGCAGCAGCAGCAGCAGCAGCAGCAGCAGCAGCAGCAGCAGCAGCAGCAGCAGCAGTATATGCAACTAGCGAACAACTGCCGTTCACTAGAGCCTCCATCGGAATTCTGCGATTACTATCTTACTCTTTTAATCGTCATGTATTTTATAAACTAACCACTTTTATATTTTTCCTTCAACTGTGGCTATTAACTCGCCGTTGGATCTCATCCTGCGCGAACCTAAATGGGATTTAGGAAAACTACTCTGCTTAACGGAACGGCGCAACAGACAACTGGAGACATTTGGGATTACTGTGACTATAAACTGACCATTTGCTACAATCGCCTCTGTAGCGTATTAAGGTATGAAAATGGGACATTCTTACACCTGCGTACATACCATCGTACCTCAGTGGGGAACACTTCCAACTTGACAGGAAATATACCAAGTTATTTGTTTGTCTTTTATATGCGTAAGCGCCTTTATCAATTCTAATTACCTCCACAGCCGGGCTTGTAATGCGTCATGGAGTGGTCAACTCAAGTCAAAGTAAGCTTCATCCACTCGTATGGATGAATTAGAAACGCAACAAGTCAGACACATCGTTCTGATTGGCACTTAAGTGCAGTAAGTAAATCGGCAATATTTAATCGTTATCTTACGGTCCTTGTGCGAATTTCTTTGCCGGGCTCTCTAACCAGTTGTGAAGATGCTATCATCCTCAACACTGTACCTCGTTAGTGGCAGTAAGAAACAATCTGAAACGTAGTTCAGACTAAATTGTTTGGAGTGCCCAAAGAATCAACTATAACATACACGCATATAACTGACGAGCTACTGAAACGCAGAGTGCGTCTGCGCCACTCTACTATTACCGATTCGTCTGAATTGAAAATCAGATGGGTATGTTGTAGTACAAACGTTAACTCACCTCTGTTCGTCGTCAGACATGATTCTTCTGGTATCGTATATTTATTTATTTACTTGAAATGATCGAAGGGGTGGCTGAAGCAACCTCGCTTCCTGTGATAGACCTAAAGAGAATCGATTGAAAAAACAGTATGCGAGGAGCAGAATATTATGGATCATGGATAAACATGCTAGAAATTATAGATGTCAAATATCCCTTTGAGTAGAGAGAATTCACCAACCAACCTCCTCAGTACGATGATTGAAGCAGAGTTCAGCACTCTCGTCGAATGATAGGACCCGATAGGTTTGCAGTGAAGGTTTGCTAGGTCACAATAATTTCGTATCCGGAATGCAAGTTTGTAGATCCATGCAGCAAATTTGGTAAATATTGTGTCCAGACTGGTAGAGCAATGCACTCGAGAATATTGGAAGTTGTTGATACCTTATTAAGGCGTATTCTGGAGATCAATGTCCACAGAAACATTAAACTGAACAAGTGCAACACATAAGACAGTTCCTCACGAGTACATTGCTCTCATTGTGGGGTTAACTACCAATGAACGGTTAATTGTGAATGGTATGGTGTATTCTGTAAATTCTTGTTCACCTTAAACTTCAATAAACGGTTATTTGGTCACAATACAGCAACGCATCAACCTCGTGTCTTAATGTGAGACAACTGACACTAGACGTCATATGAGAAGGATTTATCAGGTAACCTATAAAAATTCCTGTCCACTCACTTACATTTACAATACAGTAGCCACGTTGTTAAGAGATGCTTATCATGTCAATCAAACCACAAGCCAGATGAAAAACGATTAAGGTGTGTAATTGGAACCAGCCAACATGATTAGGTAGACGATTTTTTGTCCTACCGTAAGACAACCAAAGCATCATTTTATCCTATGCAATCACAGTGGACCTTCGCACAACTCAAAGCGTTTAGACATATAGTAGAAACCACTCACCACGTTCGCGCTACGTAATCCAACGTACAATGCGGTTGCACTAATGCAGTTGCCTTTAAGTTTGAACCGTTCAGGCTGCGCTGTGACCACACCACCCACGTAACCCCGTGGGTGTGGGCTGTTTGCCTCGGACACAAACCAACGTTCGTGTGTACCACTGCACAACCGTGCATTCCATAACCAGGCAAATGCTGCCGCAGTTGTTGGCGTTGTGGCCGATGCCAATGTTACTGCCGTGGATTGTGCGCGCGCGCATACGCACATCCTGCTACGTGTCTGCATCCAGTCGGTCGATCATGGGCGCGTTGGACGTTGTTCCTATCTTCTTTCCCAACACAATCGGTTTTGTCCTATGGCACAGAATAGGTAAGGCGCGCAAATACTAGGATCAATCAAGTCCCCAAACCATTCACACAGATCGATGTGGGGTCACTGGGGTTTGTAACCGACCGTCATAAAATACCAGCGGCAATGAGGCGCGCTTCCTCCAAGTTAGCCTATGTGCGTATCCATGTTCAGCCTGTGAGTCAATACAGTTGGATGGAATTTAAGTGCTGTACAAAGGCCTACACCAAAGGAGAGGTTATGATTCACCTAGATGGCCCCATCAAAATGTGTGAAGACAGTATTGTCGATGTTCTGCAGAGGACCCTAATTATTTTTAAGGTCATGACTTGGAAAAAGATTATCCACGTAACTAAGTTCATCAGGACCGAGGCATAATTTACAAAACAAATGTTAGTCTGATGTCTACTGGAAATATTTTCTTCCATTAGGCGTGAGAAATCGCTCCCTGACGAAAAGGTGCAGAGGAGTACGGGGTAAAGCCTCACTAACACTTGTAGTCACTTGTTAGACTGGATCATGAGTGACAATAACGGAGCACGATGACTGATTTGTAACTGCGATATAGCACGGCTTATCCTCCACTGTTATACATGTCATAAACGCACAGCGACAGGGCTAACCTCTCAAACGACGACTACCGTTGCAAACCGTCACCAATTGAGGTGGAATGTAAGCTGCTAAGGGGAGTATTATGCTCTAGTAATCGATAGTTACCGCCATCAGTGGTATGGAATCGCCGACTAGTGTAAGCGAGATCATGGGTTGGGGTCCAGCAAGATCCAGTGGGTAAGTGCTACTGACAAGTCATAATAGGGCAAAACGATCGTCTGCCGTTTTCCTAGATGTGTGGTTACTGTTTGGCTGAGCCTAGCTGCGAAGAACGTTCCCAAGACATCAAATTGCCCTACAACGCTCTACTTGTAACCACCTTTATATAGGAGCACGGGGGCATACATATGTCAAACATTGACACCAGTTCTTGTATTTATGTAAAGTTTATAGTCAGACGTTGTCCTCGTGCCTAGTCTATTAGCTTACAGCCGACGAGTAACGATGGTGAAGTGACTAGAGCTAAAACCCCGCTCATCCCTGGGTATTCACGCTTAACTACCGGTGTTTTGTTAATCTGGTCCGGTGCTAGGAGCGGGTGCATTCAGATGCTGACGTCCAGCCGGTACGCTGCAATGCTAACTGTCCAATGACGCAAATTGCTTTGCCGGCAGGGGTGAGATAGGACACAGACGCCAAACTTGTGAATATGATCGCAGAGCACACCGAGCCCTTCGGCTGTGAGAAGTGAACGTTAGCCGGCCGCAACGAATGCGTCATGCCTCGACCGTAGGATAAGACCTAGGGAACACACGTCCTTCAGCTGTGAAAACTGGACGTGAGCCGGGCACCACATAGCCACGCTGAGCCTGTCATGCTTCTATCGATCGGTAGTCGGCCTTCATGCAGGTGAAAAGCCAACAAAAGGGTTTCCTGCGAAGTGGTTAGTGGGACGCTGTGCTAGCAATTGAGAAAAACAGCCTGGCCGCATGTGATGACTGGTCGATGGGCGCCGTATTGCTATCGCCACAATAGCTGTTATCGCCTCGTGCCTGGCTTCCAACAAACCCGTAAGCTTTTATTAGGCTGCTTTCACTGCTAAAGGCAATCCTACTGCCGGGAGCACATTCAAAGGTTACAGTGTTGTTCACTTTACCCTTTCGATCACGTGTGTGTTACAGCTGAAAATTCACCCTTCATGAGTGCATACAAAGGATTTCTCGACTTGATTTGACGTGACAATGCTCTTAAATTTCAGTCTGCCCCGACGCAATGGTGGCATCATTAGACAGCATACCAATTTAGTCATGAATACAATTATTGCCCTCACAGTCAGACAATTGCTAGCTGCACAAATTGATCAGGCCTTCGGTGGTGTTGCTGGTGTACAATGGAGAATATACATTTATTCATTTTTTACTTACATTTACATGCAATGTGTGAAATGTCGGTAAATATCAACGAATTAGATGTTTGCAACATCAACTAAAGCGGACAGCCTCGCACCGTCATGGATGAAGTAGCATCGGATATTGAACGGGAAAAGATTCTGGCGGTACAGTGCACTGGAGCTGTAAGTGTTGGACGCATGCGATTCACAGAAGCGCCTGGAATTCGCACGTTTATTTTTAAACAGTCTGGACATGCATTCTATTTTGTTCACCGGTGAGGCGGTGTTTCCTCTGCATGGCGAAGATACGAAACATGTTTGGGCAACGACCAACCCAGGACAATGTAGCGCTTCAAGTGTGCAACATGGCGCGAAGCTCATGGCCTGGGCTGGGTTGACTGGTCGAAAAATCATTGGGATCTTTTATTTTCCAGGAGTGTGTCCAGTAGGTCGTTGCTTAACAGTACCAATGTCTGATTGCTTAGCATCCTCCTACATGGAAATGTTGCAGAGCAGCGTCATACCGCAGCTACAGTCGGAAGGATTAATGAATAACGTTTGGCGGCAACAGAATGGCGCACCTACACATTCAGCACAATCGGTTCGTGTCTACCTGAACGAGACCTGCGGTAGACGTTGGATCGGTCGCGGAAGACCAATAGAATGGCATGCACGATCATTGGATCCGAATCCCAAGCGTTTTTTCCTATGGGGATGGTTGAAGCGCAGAGTTAATAGAACGAAATCCAAAAACCTAGCTTTACTGAAAGAGAACATTGTGAAAGAATACAGGCAGATTTTGTTGGAGACATTGCAGAAAGTGCTCGCCAACACCATTCGGCGATAGCTCCTCTGTAGTCAAAATGACGGTGGACACTGTTGTAGTTGAAAACAACCAGTGGTGAATCGCTTACCCAGAGGAAAGGATGGTGTATAACTAATGAGTAATATGTGTACAAACGAGCGGGCATGAGGAAGTTAGAGAAATCCTGGTTCACTGCGAACGAAGAACGCGTGGTGTACAAATCAATCACTACCGATAAGTTGTTGCTTAAGGTACGCAGCGAAAATGAGAGTCAGAATGGTACCCAGAAGGAAGTGCGCAAAAGGGACCGACTCTATCCTGACTAGTATGATAATAGGATGCAGGTTCACTAACACGCAACTCGTCTGCCCGGTGTTGCGGTTTCTACAAAAGGAATTGATGGTGCAACTCGGCAGCTTAACGGTCAATACATCTGCCGGCAACGTCTACGCTTAAGCTTTTAGTCCCAGTTCGGTTACCGCTCCATAAATATCACGACCAACCCCTAAACCGATCGCAGAGGATGGTGTTAGATGCAGGAAGCACCTAATGTTTACTATGATAAGTACTGTGGAACTCAGTCCTCAAGGGGCAAAGTTTATTCAGCGATGTCAACACAGTGAAGATTAGACATGTGTGGTACACCGAACTCCACGATATATCTTGTCCGTTCACGTCCATAAGCAAGATCACTTATAAGCCGAAGATGTTCCGTTTTTGACTCAGTTAGACAAGTGGTGAAGAACCCACACAAGCATCGGCCACTCCGCGTCCAGCAATGGGATCCGTTACGTTCGTCTGCGGTTGGTTGTCTAGTTCGCAACTTGAGCCCATCCGTCCACTCTGCTAGGATTCTACCATCACACTGTGGACCAACTTAGCAGAAGATCAATGACGGTCAACTGCGCATTCTTCATTTACTGAGAACAAGCGCCCGAAGATAAATGCGCGGTACCCAAGTGAAACACGATGCCGTTGTTGTTAGTAAGATCACTTGCTCCTGTTCAAACCTTTCGACCACACTATGCATAGGCGATGATTAGTTGACTCCTAGTGTGCAGTTTGTGCGCTCTCTGTAGCACCATAACATGTATGGGTGTTGTTTAATTCTCGCCGTAGTTAGTTCATCGAATGATGGACAGTATGATGATGCTTCAGGTGAGGAAAAGTGGGGCAGAAACATATGCCTCAAATGGATAGAGATGAAGTTTCAAGTTCAGTGGGGCCGGAATGGTACAGGTAGACTTGAAAGTCAACCTTAGCCACAATCTAAATTACTTGTCGCAATCCAAGACAGATGGCGGGTACTCCAAAACCAGACAATTAAAGTTCCGAGTTATTGAAGCCAGAAACAGTAACAGGATGGGACAATAATCGCTTTAGACCAATGCGGTACAAGCGGATGTTATTGAGGACCTTATTTAGTCGTGCTAGACGAATTTGTCCGACCGATTGCCTGGTCTACTTTAATTGCAAATGGCTATCCCCGTAGGTTCCTCGAGAACCATAGTCAAATCATCCGAACTAAAGAGGCAGTACCCACCGTGAGTAAAAAGAACATATTCTTAGAGCTTCTCTTTAAGGGCGACGCTGCTACAATGAGGTCTACTAGACGACTAATCGCGGTTATGCAGAGTACCTTCGGGGTTGCCAAACTAAACAACATCAACCGAATCCATAGGCTAAGCTGCCTCCACTGTACGGAACTCAGCCAATCGGGGCCAACTCCCACTGAGTGTACTAATTAGTAGGTACCTGCGGAGCTAGTTACATAGAGAGAACCGAGCAGACCTTGAGTGCCCGGATGAAGGCATCCGTTCTAGAGTGTCTCCAACACGAGACATCTCAACAAGTATGCCCAGCTCAGGCTACGCATCCATACAGGCCGCTAGCGGCTTCGATCGGCAGGCATTTATTGACCTCAGGTTGCCCGATCATCTGCAGGTCGTTCAAAGTTGTTCTGCAACGTACCAATTCCCGTCTCTTTTTCTTCGCTGAGGCTGTTGCGATAAATCTTATCAAACCGGAGCTTTGTGTTCACAATCAACTATCGGTCAGCATCAGGCTGTCAGAGGTAGAGATGTGACTCTCATATTCTTATTTGTTTGGTTGCACGGTTGCATCAATGGACAAATTTGTTTCATTACCAGTTATCGTTTTCGGCACTGAAGAGACGGTGATAA